GTCCCCATCAAGATCATCACCAACCGTCTAAGCGCCTTCTGCGAAGCCAACAACATCCTCCCGGAGGAACAGTGCGGATTTCGACCCGGGCGATCCACCGTCGACATGCTGTTCGTCGTGCGCCGCCTCCAGGAGCTGGGGCGGAGAAAGAAAATACCGCTCTAGAGTAGAGAGAGGCGGGTATTAAAGGCACCCCCTGTACTAAGAGCTTGTTCTTCAGCAGGAAATCGAATTTCGATGATATTGTGGTATCGAGCGATAGGTAAGATCACCCCCCGGCTACCTAAAAAAAAAGAAAAAAAAAATCGTCAACAGTGACGAGGTAGGGCTTGAGCGGTACACCTGAGCTGCAGGCGTCATTTTGAGAGAAAACTACCCCTAGGGGTATTAACGGGCACTTTCATCATTGGTTGATTTCGTACGTTTGAAAGCGTTTCAAGACCCAAGATTTGGTGGGCATGCGTAAAATACAACAGGAATGAAAAAAAAGTAAGATAAAACAAAAATGATCCACATCCGGGGATGGTTTTCGTGTGATTGAGAGCGAAGTTTCTGATTGAGAGCGAGATTGCGCGATGCGCTGTAGCTGGACTACCGCTGAGAGGTGGAGCTTGCTTCGTGACTTGAATTGAAGGCCTAGCCCGTAGCTACAAGCCGATACCCTGGTCATCCTATGGGCGTCTCTCGTTGTGGAGCTACAGCGGGGAGCAGAATCTACAGCAGAGCTCACCGCCCGCGATCAAATCGCCCTGAAACAGTTTGAGGCAGGANCTCAATCAGGCGAAAACCCTGTTCGGATGAAAATGACGTGTTCCCGGGTTTTCGACACCATGGATAGGGATGGTATTTTTCCTCCGTGACCTGCATTGCGTGCTCTGTGTGTCCGAAACGAGGCGGAACAACCTAGTTGATGCATAATTGTGTTATTCCAGTCAGTAGACGACATGAAACAACATATTCGCCTGATTGAGAGCGTAGCATCTGATTGAGAGCGAGATTGCGCGATACGCTGTAGCCGGACTACCACTGAGAGGTGGAGCTTGCTGTGTAGCTTGAGTTGAAGGGCTAGCCCGTAGCTTCAAGCCGCTACCCTGGTCATCCTGTGGGAGTCTCTCGTTGTGGAGCTACAGCGGGGAGCAGAAGCTACAGCAGAGCCCACCGCCCGACGCGATACCGCCCTGAAACAGTTTGAGCAGAAATAGCCAATCTGGGCAAATCTAGCAACTTGTCTAGCTCCTCGCTGCAGCATCCGATGACGATGACACGCATATGCTCGCGACGCTGCTGATGAGACCTTCAATTTGCACCGCTTCTTGGAATAGCCCGTCCCCTACTTGCCAAGAAATGGCAAGAGGCGTCTGGACCCGAAATTTCAATTTTTTCGGCCCTCGCTCTCAATCAGATACTTCGCTCTCGATCAGGCGAATATGTTGTTATGAGAAAAAAAAATCACGGCGAAAAGAGTTGTCTACGTAAAATGGTGCTTGGTCAAATATGGGTACTTTTTCCTGATTTAGCATGCCGCTAACGGTAAGAATTCACGCCGAACACCGCCAAACTGTATCCACCATTGAGGAATACTCATTCATCCCCACGACACAACCTTTGGAGGGGACCTTTAAACATGAGTGAGAAAGATGTTCAGAACAACAAAAAAAGAAGTCACCCCAGGGACACAGAACCACCGCGTCCCCGGGTTTTCGGTCTAAACCCGTGCATCCCTCCCCCCCCCGGTACTGGAACGCACGAACGTCACCATCAAATAGGGTACGAACCACACGACGTTCTACAGGGTATGTTTCGACTGTGCGCACAATTCCACGCCCGTTGGAGCACACCTGATGATCTATAAAAGGTCAAATAAGGATACTTTTTTCCTGATTTTAGGCTCGGCGGTAAGAATGAACGCCGAAAGCAACTGTAGTTTCAAAACACCTTTGCACCCCCGCGACCAGCGCTTCTGAGGGAACCTGTAAGCATGTGAAATACATTGCAAAAAAAAAAAAAAAACACACACACAGGTCACCCGGGGAAAAAACGATAAAATCGCCGGGTTGGGTTCAAAACCTGTGCATCCTGCCCCCCCGGTGCTGGCACGCCCTAAAATCACCGTCACATAGCCTACGAACCACATGTGACGTTCTACAGGGTGCATATCGACTGCGGGTACATGACCATTTGGGCGTCTTCGATTCAAATCTGAACCTTTCAGGACACGTGAGAAATATCGACACGGCTACACGTCGACAACGGGTGTCGGCGTCCGTTGTCGTCCGACCCTGGACACGGAGGGCGCTGGTTGACGTTCCGACAAAGTCGTCCCTTCTGCTCCAGCCACCCGGCCGCGCCCCCCCACCCGGCCACGCGCTCCCACCCCGTCTTCATGACCAACACCGCGGCCCCCGCCTCCCTCCCCCCGCCCGCTCGCCTCACGCCCCCCCACCCTCCCGCGCCCTCCTCCGCGCCCCCGTCCCCTCCCCGCGCTCTCTCCGTGCCCGCCGCGCCCTCCCCTTTCCTCTCCCCTCCCTCCTCCCCGTCCCCGTCCCCTTCCTCTATGGGCCATGCGCGCCTGCCGCAACAGCTCCGCGGCCGCTTTTTCTCCCCTCTTCTCTTCGCGAACTTTCGCCCTCGCAGCCTTCGCGTCGCTCTCCGCCTTGTCTGCGCCTTCTTTTTCGGCAACAGCGTCCAAGAACTCAGGCGCGGTAATGTTGCCTCCCTCGGGAAGGCCATGCGAGCCCCGCGAGGCCGCCATCTTCTTCGCGCGCTTACTTTGAGTCAAGAGGCCACCGAGTAACATCGTGCCTACTCGGTTTCCCGTGACGGTGTGCCCTTGCCCCCGCAGCACCTTGAGGACCCCTTCTCCGATGTCTTTCTCCAGCTGCTCGTTGAGGGCGGCGATGGGGACGTCCTGTAGGGGTGGGCGCTCGTCTCGCCGCTCTTTCTTCTTCGCTGTGCCCTTCAGCCGGCCCAGCGCCCGCTCCTTGTTCACAGGCCACAAGCCCGCCCCAGCGAATGATGATTTATTTATCTCCGGTGTGAAGCTCAATTTCCAAGCATCCGCGATCACGCCGGGCATGTCGCGTTTCAGCGGCAACAACCCGCCGGAGTTGTGGTAGAAGGAAGCCAAAACTCTGGTCACCGATTTCTTAAAGCGTCCGAAGGCGACGACATCCAAGGGCTGGGTGATGTGCGACGTTTGGGAGGGTAGCTGGAACAAGATGATTTTGAGATTCATGGCCAGCCTGACTACCTCCACGCTCACGTGTGATGCATGTCCATCGAGCAAGAGTATGTGGGGTTTTCCGTCGAGCAACCCTCGGTCGCCGAGCTGCTTGTGGAAATCCTTCAAGTAGGCGATGAATACGTCTCCCTACTTTTAGGAAGAATCCGTACAGGTGTACCTCGCACCCTCCGGGCCGTTTCGCTCTCCAAACCAATCGGCCTGAAGTCGTTGCCCTTTGAAGATAATGGTTGGTGCCCAGGTGTGACCATCAGCGCTGATGGTAGCGACCACGGTGGTGTTCTCTCGCGAGTTGGAGCGCATCGAACCAACCACCTTCTGACCTGATTCCGCAAACGCCTTCGTCGTCTTGGTTCCTTGCGGGGTGGTACCTGCAACGGGCACGCGTATGTGAGGGTCGGGGGGGGGGGNTTACAGTCAATATCGTGCGCCCCAAGCAACGGGGGTGGACGGGGGGGGGACACACGCGGTGACTCTTTTACATTTATGTTCGTGCGGCGAGGGCTTTCAACCTACGCAGTCTGATTGCGGCCTACGCCACTTATTTATCGGGTGAGACTGTTTTGGTGATGTA